AATATATATATATAATATTATCAAAATTGTGTGTTACATCGGATGTAGATCATTTTCTTGACATAAGGAAATCCGTTTAGCACTGAGTGCATGATGCACTATATAACAGACAATAATTATTATATTATTATTTAATAACGATAAAGCCCGGAGCAACGCACCGGGTTAGAGACTAGTATATTTTATATACAACTACTCTCGTTAAAGTAACCTCTCAATATGGTGAAAATTTGATATGAAGAATTTTGAATTACAGAATTATTAAACTTTAACTTGGATAGTAAAATATAATATTCTTTCGATATAAGCTATAGTTAAGTCAGACCGATGATTTCACTATAATAAGAGTGAATTGTAATTATAATTAGAGTTTAAGATATATACTAATAAATTAATTTCACCACTCTAATTTTATTTCACCAGCATCTTTAAATATATAAAGATGTATAAGTAATATATTATGCCACGGATGATGCTGAAGTTGAAATTAAACCTATTTAATGTACGATTTTTAATATTTTTTGGTAAGTTTTTTATAGATTTTATTTTTTTTAAAGATTAGGCTAGGATTTAGAACTTTAGTAGGGTTTATAGTTTTAATTAAGGCCCCAGATTTCAGCATCATCCGCGACATATGATAAGACTCAACTATCAATAATACCTTGAAGTTGATAAGATCATAAAGCGTTACCTGAGATTATTCTTTTATTGAAATATCAAAGTCCGGTGGAGTTCCAGATTTCAGTCAATAATACCGTATTACCGATTACGGTTTATGTTTTATAGCGCTAATTAAAAACCTTAATGCGAATTAAAATATTGTAACACTTCTCATTGATCTAAATACATTATTTGAGTACATCACCTACGTACTAGATCTCTAATGATATAAAGTATATTTGACGTTACACACTAAAGTATGACTCAATATATATACAAAAAAAAAACTCTTTGTAATAATCAAAAGCTTTATGAGTGAATTACATTATAAGAAATCGATCAGCCGATTTTGGCCAAACCGAAAACTAGCTTTAGCCTATTTTTTCATTATTAGCCAGGATCACTATCCCGCGGTAATCCTTCTTTGTTGTTCCTCTCTTTGTTGGTCTTGCCAACGATGTTGTTTGGCAATATCATGAATCTTGAACCCAAAAATTCTTGGCACATATCGCTCGTTACTTTTGGGTGGAAGCAAATGTGGATAAACTTGAAAGAGCATATGAGGAAATGTGGAGCCATAATATGCACCATCAATGCTGGAATGTCGTGTAGATTTAGGATTGTAAATATCTTCACAACGGGGGCAATACAATTTCACGGACTTAGTGTAAGGCTGATCAGAAAGACCGACAGGTAAAAGTGGTTGGTTGTGACATAAAACGCGCGGACAACGACCAAACTCGGCTTTTTTGTATTTCTCAAGCTGGTGCATATGGTAATCAAATCAGTAATTGGCTTTGGTATATGTGTAATAAGTCATGGGAATATTGTAGAGAGAGCCTATCTCTTGTCAGCTTAATCTGAGCAGAAAATTTCCCACAAAGAAAACTATATCTGAGTATTCCATCTGTTCAAATATCGATGGAAATGCGGCAAGCCGAGTTGTATATCATTATTAAACCTTCAAATAATCATCTACATACCATTTTCGCTAATCCTCGACTTGTGATAATAAACCTCGCGTGAATTAATCCGTACAGATGACGAGCGGATTTCTCAACAGCTTCACGCATCTCATCATCAAGTTCTTCTTCTAAAAATGACAAATAAATGATGAATCAACAGAAAATTTATAACTATAATTGATAAATGGTTTATATCACAATTTTTGTATTCATCATAAAACTTATTGAAAAAAAAAAGAAAATTTATTCCAAGGGTACTCGAGAAACAAAACTTGCCCAAAGAATCCGTTATTAAATCAAGAGCCTGAGTATAATGTTGAACTTCTGAATTCAATCCAGTCAGGTTAAATCGGTCAAGTATGTATTCTTCATCAACTTCACAAAAATATTCGTTTCCTTTAGTAGACAAAAACCAATCAATCCAGTATTTATTGTAATCACTATCAGAGCCACTTGTAAGATCATCCACTAAAAAAATCCGATTCATGAATCAACTTTGATTTTATTGAAAGTCTTGAAAGGTATAAAATTTCATTATCAACACTTACTTTTTATGTCTCCGTTCAAGTCCAAAGTCTGCCCTTGAACGTCGTCAATGTCGTCGTCGTCGTCGTCGTCGATGACGATCGGATTTCGAGCTGAATTATCCAAAGTCTCTTGATTGAAAAGGGGTTGTTCTCGAGTACCTACTTCCCTAGCAGCCGAGGGTGAAGGCGGATTACGAGAGGAATAATCTGGCACTGGAATAGTACTAATTTTGACTGATTTAAAATGAATTTGTGAGCAAAAGCCTTGCGAAGACTCTCAAGGGATAATTTTGAGGATATATATGTCAAACCTATATGCACAGCATAACGATAAAAGATGATTAAATCACGTGAATTATTAAATACCGGAATTCCTGACGTAAGGTTTAATTTAATGGGTTAAGACGATTATTTTTACCTGATAAGTTAAAAAAAAAAATTTATATCAAGCACGAAGTAAGCGAGAGAACCTATGAATTTTATAAATTTATTTGAATTCTTGACGCAACCCACCACCCTATTCATCAAACATATATATGTATACAATCTATTAAAGTCGACTTGGGGTTTGTGGTTTATCATACACTTTTTCTAGTACATAGTTTTTTTTTTTTAATCCAGAAAAATATTTTATAAAGTTATAAATCAACGTGGTCAACTACACCTTTAACGCTCTGAACCAATTTTTGTTTTGTTATTCTAAGTTCTTCGTTACCCTTATCCAAATCGATACTAACGTATATGTAATAAAGAAAGACAGCAAGACAAATATAGAAGCCAAATTTGACCATTCCAACTACCGTTCCATATAACCAGCGAAATATCATTCTGGCGATCGAGAATAGGACGTAAAGGAACGCGAAAAGAATGAAGAGTACGAAAAAATCGGACTCTGACGTGAGTTCATTAATTTTAGAGTAGACAATATGCTGGAGTTGGATAGCATCTAACTCGGAAAAACTTGCAATCGTTTGTGTTAACACATTTTGAAGCAATTCGAAATTCAGAAAGGTTATGTTGAACATTTGCGTTTGATAGATTGAAATGCGATTGTAACAAATCAACTCTAGAAGTGTGATGTATTTTTGTACTGTTATATATATACTTATCATCAGACCGCATTAGGCCATCAATCGTTACACGAATTTTTGTGGTTAATATAAGTTTTCGCAGATCAGTAGAAGAACAATCCTGCAATCTGATAATTTTGTTAGATTAGGGATCAGGTTTCCTGTATTGTACTTGAAATTCGATTGGACAGCATTAGGGCGGGTCAAAAATTTACAACTTGGTTGTAATGCATTTATAGAAATTAGTGTTAATAGTCGAAGCCGACCAAGTCAACTAAGCAATAAAACTGATTTAAAAGTGATCTTTGACCGTAAACGATTTATGATAAATTCCACTTAGGTGTGGATTCTGAATTCATAGAATTTTTAAACAATTTTAAAAAGAAAAAAAATCAAATATCTATTTCTGTCTATATAGTTCTAGTGCTATCTAGGGTTCTAAACCAGATCAAAATTATCACCCAGAAAGCTGGAGATCCAGATAACAATGGTTTGAATAACCATAGCGATGGCATCCTTAAATTGTGATGGCTAGTGTTTTTAATTTTTCGAGATGAATATGTAAAAACCGAGTTTGTGCCGGTTTACGTTCAGTTCCTGATAGGTTTCTTAGTTTTTAAAGGAACCCAGATGTCAATTTCTCATAACAATGCTTAATTACTTAATTATAATAGGAATACCGTATAGTTCCGAAATTAAGCACCCCCCGAAATTAAGCACCATCAAATTTTATGTAATATCCGAAAATAAG